TTCTTCAAAGTGTATTCTGTACTTGGTGTTTGAACTTCAGCAGGCTCTTCCTTTTGACTCTCGGTGTACCCTTTTGCTTTGGCAGCAACTCCCCATCCAGCCTTCCTTGAGGTGGTAGAAACCCAGCTCTTGCCTAGTAACTGTTGGATCAGTTCTTTCTCCTCACATTCCAACAGGGCAATAAAATTGATTGTCTCACTGATGATCCTGTGTCACCAAAGATGCATCATATTCTGAACTCTCCTTTTAGAAAAAAAAATTAACCCCTGTGGTTGAAATTAAACCCATTTAATATTTAGCTGGGTAGTCCTTATACTATTATGAAAATCTTTATCATTTTTTTGTGGTATTTTTTTATTATTGTTGTACTGGAGGTACCTTGTGACATTTACAAAAGTTCTTACAATATATCATAGTTGAATTTACCCTCTCCATCATTCTCCTTTATCCCCTCTCTCCCTATTCTTGGAACAGTTTCAACAGATCTCATTTTTTCCATTTACATACATGTGTACATAATATTTCTACCATATTCACTCTTATATACCCTTTCCTTTATATTCTCCATCCTCCCACTGGTACCAACCACTAGATAAGACCTATTTTACCTTTCTATTCTCTGTTTTTGTTAAAAAAAAAAAAAAAGACGTTTTTGTTTGTTTAAGCTATCTGGGATGTTTCATTGTGACATTTCCATGTATATGTGTATTATAACCTGAATTGGTTCATCCCCTCTATTTTTCTCCTACAAGAATGAATATAGAATTTTTAAACATGTTGAAATCACCATAAGAAGGGGACTCAGGTAGAAAGAAGAAAAATATCATTCTTAATGTCTTATTCCTTGAAATTTCTAAAAAGCAGATACTTTTCTGTGTTGTAGCAGCAGAATGAGTTATAGAATATGTTATTTTTGAAGAGCATGAGCAACCTTTTTTTTAGTTTATAATACTTTTCATATGAAAGTGTATAGGTAGTTTTACAATGTTTTATAAATTTTGTTTACAGATTCATCTTTTGGATCAATAGCAGCAGATACTTCAGCAGAGGTATAGAGTGTGATAATATAGTTAAGTCAGGAGAGTAGAACTAGTGGCTGCTGGCATGAAATGTTTATTTTGAAAGAATTGTTGGCATTTTTGCTCTATATCTGCACAATAAGGATTTGCAGGAGAGGAGGGAGGTATTAATGTATTTGTTGAGGATTAATGACTGGGTAGAGCATTGGGGTGGTGAATACATTGTGAGAGTACCATAAATACAGTAATTAAGAAGCTGCACACCAAACACTCTGTGGACTGGCAAATAAATCCCCTTCCTCCCTATCATGGCTTTTAGGCAACAGAATAGCGGCTTGTTTATCTTAGTGTCTTTGCATTCTTAAGAATAGAAAGAGGAATGGTAGTCTCAAAGACTTGTGCCAGGTCCTGGGTTTAATCTCCACACTGTAAAAAAAAAAAGGTGCTTTGTTCTCAATGCATTGCTGCTCAGATTTGATTTTTTGAGTATCAAGTTGCTTTTTAAACAGTTCAAAAACTCTGTGATGTAGTGCCTAATAATAAACTCTTCCTCACTTTTGAAAACGATCATTAAGGTTGTTCTAGACAAATACTACAGTGTGCCACTGTGTAATGTACAAAATGTGTTCAGTATGACCCATGATACCTCAGAGCTGTGTGTTATGAGAAGCAAAATGGCGTGGCTACTGACTGAAATACTTACATGTTAGGACGGAACATAGATCTGAACCCGGGATGAAGTCTCAGAATTTTCAAGGAAGTGAGTCTTAAGATTATCTCATTACTGTTTCTCGTGTTGCCCCCAGACAGTTAAACAAGCAGGTTGCTGGGGATGTGAGCATCCCCAGGGGAGAGGCTCCATGCTGTTAGAGTAATGATGTCCTGCCCTTCATACAGAAGGATCACAAAGAAGGCAGACAGATGTAAAGTCTTCCATTTCTATTTCTTTGTGTGTTCAAAATGCTCATACCTTCCTATTTTCCCATTGAAGGAACGTCTTATTTTTCATAGTCTCATAGTTCCTAAAACGTGCTTAACACAATATTTACTTACGAATTCAAGATTTTCTTCTGTATAAAATATGCAGTTGAATGTACTTCACAGCTTTGCTCTGAGTCAGTTACAGTAGGAAAGGAATACATTGGAAGACTTTCCGTTCTCACCATGCAATTGGCCCCTTACTTCTAAATTGTGAAAACTCTTCATTTCTGTACTGAATTATTTATTTAATCCACATTTGGTGACTGCTTACTATATCCTATACTGCAGGGATACAAAGATGAACAGCCCAGTTAGTAGGCTTCTAATGTCTGGTACCATCTCTATCATGGCTGACCTCAGTGAGGATTACATGGTACTAAAATGGCCTGGATCTCATTCCTGTTCAGAACAGACAAACCATGTGGCAGCTTTAGGGTTTTTGAGATCACAAGACTGCCTAGAAAAATTAAAAGCTGCCTTTCAAGGTGTTTTCCATTGCGTTAGGTTCCTGGTGAACTTGCTACTTTTGTCATTACTGGGCTGTGTTCTAAGAACAAAGCTACTCCACTCCATTTCTGGATTTGTTAGAGTCCTATGTGGAAAAGTATGCTGCTGACTTAAGAGCATCAAGATAAGAGGAAGTCAACTCCACTCTCCCCTCCTTCCTGCCTTTACTTGCCAGTGCCTGCCTCTTTCTTGTTGACTCGGTTAGTCATGTGAAGAGGGATCTTTGAAATTGAGCAGCTCAGGGAGATTTTAGGATGGTGGGTAATGATTTTGGTTAATGAAACTGTATGTTAATCTTTGGAAAGGTTGGCATCCCAAACCTAAGATCATTTTAGGAAGAGCCTTCTTCTAAATCTTTTGCTTATACCCTGTTTTTGATACTCGTAAATTTCACTGGAGGTGTGCTTACGCCACAAATGCCCCTTTCTACTTTGATCTGTACTGGCATGTGTGTTTGTTTGCCTTAAAACAGGGTTGGGTTACTTTCATTTTTTGATAGCATACCAGAGACCAAAAATTTCAAGATCTGTGTCCTCAAACTATTTGTCACCTCATTCTCAGCAAAGAGCCTTGCCAACCATTTTCAAGATGCTGTCATTTGGTCTATCACCACCAACATCCTAGTGCTACTCACTGTTAACTTACTGTCTTACTCTCCTTCTAATGTCACAGGGTACAGATCATCCTTCATCTGTTCTCCTGCCCTTTTCCTGCCTCTTTTGAAGTCTAATTCATCCTTATTCTTCCTCCTGGTTTCCTTGGCTTTTCCCTTCAACCTGCGTTGTATCTGCTAGCACCTATGCTCTCCCAAACCTGTCCTTTCTCCTTCCCAGCTCTTGCACTTGCAACACACTGTCAGTTGTGTTGTCTCAGCCTCCTCCACTACACTAAACAGACCTCATTCACAGGGTCAGTGACTTCTTAAATGTCAAATCCAAAGTGTATTTTTCATTTTTTATCTTTGCCTTTTTATGTCCCATGGTAATTCTCTCCCATTCTTCCTTGGTTTTCTTCAGAAGATCATTTTCCTCTGCTCATTCTGTCCCAGCTCTTGTTCTCTCAGGCTGTGCTCTTAGTATTAACCCTGTGATCTTCCCACTCTGCCCACTTTTCTCAGTGACGTCCCCCACTGATGTGGTCTCTGCTACTCTCCATGTAATAATCCCATGTTGCTTTTATGTGTGGCACAGGCTTCTTCCCCAAGCTTCACGTTCATCCGGCAGCCCCACTTGAGTCGTCTACACCGTAGTTTCTAATGCCTCAATTACACTTTTTGTCTTCCTTATTCCTTCTACTGTATTCTTGACATGTACCCATGTGTAGTCTACCAAGTTGCTTTGCTTTTAGCTTCTGGATGTTTCCAAGTACTAATTCTTTTCTCCCTTTCCTCCACAGTCCACTACCCTAATCTCTACCCTGCCACTACTGTCTGAATGATTGTGATAAGTAACTGGCCTGCCTGCTCTCCTGCCTTTACTCTGCCCCTCAGATCCATAGAGCACGCAAACAGATCTGACCCCTGTGTGGCCGTCTGCAGCTGGGTTAAAGGGGGAGGTCTGGCCCCAGGCTTCTTCCCTGTCCTTTAGACTGCAAACTCTTCCCTAGACAGGAGCCAGGAACACTGTGTGGTTTCTTGCCTTTGTCTTTTCTGTTGTCTTGACTAATGCAGCATTAGGATGGGCCAGGTGGCCCTTCCCCAACCTCTCTATTTCTGGGCTAGATGCCCCTGCTGGATATGAGTCTTGAATCATTACACCCATCCCACTGTCCTATGGGGCTCGTTGTATGTGTCCCTCAGCCCTGCTTTCCTTAGAAAGTGAGACAGTGTCTTATTCATCTTTCTAGCTCTAGTGCTTTGACATATAGTGTATATTCAGCATATGTCTTTTCAATGAAAAATTAATAGTGACAGTAAGTCAATTTGATGTCCACAAAAATGTGCAAAAGTGATCTATCGGTGTTACCTTTAGAAGGGAGCATGAAGCGTACTTCTGCTGGACAAGATAATGTTCCTCTGTGGACTGATGTGTTCAGTTTCGGAAAATTCATTGACTTTGCCACTTGTAGTGAATGTAGTTTTTATATTTATGTTATTCTTCAATGGAAAGTTTTTTTAAAAAAATCAATTTGACATGTAGCATCTCCAACACAGCAAAATTTCTTTATTCCTTTTGAGCTTTTAGAGTGTTTATAGGATATTAGGTCAGGAATCACAACAAAGAACCAGACTACTGCTGTCCTGACACTGGCCTCCTAAAAAGGGCCAGCAAGGGCCAGCTCTGACCCAGGGAGTTGTCACACTTACTTCAGAGGTCACGTGCTAATCATCAGCAAACTGCGCCTGCCTGCAGGGACAAGGAGACTTGTCTCCATGGAACTGTGAATAATTCATCGGCATGATTAGCTGGAAATTTGTGGTCATCATTAGCATTTTAATGAAAAAAAATGTAATCATGATCCTAAGTCTCTGTTTTGTTTCTTCCCCCACCACAGCTAACCATCTCACTGTTTCCTGAGTACTTGGTAGCTGCTGAGACCCCTGCTAATGTGCTGACTGTCGCTATGGGCAGACGGTACCCAGAGGCTCACTGTCGTCCAGGAAGTTCATGTGCGTATGGGATCCCCTTCCTTTCCCTTTCCCCTTTCCTTTTCCCTTCTCCTTCTCCTTTCCCTACCCCTTCCCCTTCCTCTTTCCCTTCCCACATCAGGGTACAAAACTGATGAAGGTTTATAATATTTAAGTCAGAGTATTTAGAAATGCAGAATGATTTGCTCTGGGGTAAATTTTTAATATTGAATGGTGAAAAATGTCATCTAAATTAGGATTCACATAATCAGGTAGCTCTAGAAGACCAGAAGGTGAGCCATCTCCCTCTTCTGTTTCAGTATGTCCGTTCATATATTGGCTTTAAAAACAACTTTTTCTTTTCATCACAATATAGATGACATTTGGAGCAATAGTAATGCTATGAATTAAAACTCTTCCCAGTGATTGGAAATAAAAAACTTCATGGACTCAGAAGATAAGTCCCCTGGGTATTTCCATGTTTCACGCATTGGGTAGGGTGACTCTGGTTCTAGCGTTCTGCAAAGAAGGACACTCAGTGGTGACTTTCCATGTCGAAAAACACAAGCTTTTCTGCCAGTCTTTAGGGAACTGCTGCAATTGCATTCCTCCCCGTTTGTCTTTAACCCTGATTACTGGGGAGGAAAAGTGTTTGCCTCCCGTTGAAGGATCTACTTTTATTTGTGTTAAGGGCAGTTTGTTCCAGACTTAGTTTTCTTGTTCCCTTCCGTCTTCCAGCTTTGGGCCAGCTTTGTAGATACTAATTTATTTTTTTCTGCATCTCTTTGGAGAAGAGAATTTGGAATTTTGGCTTCAAATTGGGATGTTTGGGGTAATTCCCCACAATACCTTGCTCCTCCCCTATTCTTTCTGTAGTTATGTTTATTCATATTTACCCTTCAATCTCCTTTTCTTATCTGGCTCAGTTTTGTTTTTTTTTCCCTTAGAAAAGTTAGAATCACATGGTCCTCAAGCCCTCATCCAGACAGTTGTTTGGAAAGTAAACCAGATAGTTTAAAAGCATTTTAGTAGCAATGGGACTGAATTCCTGACCATGGAATAGGGACTCTGAGCAACTACTAGCATGAAACCAGCAGTGTTGAGTAAACAGCTTTTCCACATTTTCGGTAGTATCTCTAAGGCATTACTGTTTACTCTAAAGCTAGCAGTTTTCATAGTGAACAGCATCGTGAAAAAAGTGTACCTGCATGCTGCAGATAGAGATTGAGAACCATGGCCAATGGGCCAAACCCTGCCGATGCCTGTTCTTATGGGAGTTGAGAGGGGATTTTATATATATATTTTTTTTTCATTTTTCTTTTATTATTCATATGTGCATACAAGGCTTGGTTTATTTCTCCCCCCTGCCCCCACCCCCCCTTACCACCCACTCCACCCCCTCCCGCTCCCCCCCTCAATACCCAGCAGAAACTATTTTGCCCTTATCTCTAATTTTGTTGTAGAGAGAGTATAAGCAATAATAGGAAGGAACAAGGGGTTTTGCTGGTTGAGATAAGGATAGCTATACAGGGCATTGACTCACATTGATTTCCTGTGCGTGGGTGTTACCTTCTAGGTTAATTCTTTTTAATCTAACCTTTTCTCTAGTTCCTGGTCCCCTTTTCCTATTGGCCTCAGTTGCTTTAAGGTATCTGCTTTAGTTTCTCTGCATTAAGGGCAACAAATGCTAGCTAGTTTTTTAGGTGTCTTACCTATCCTCACCCCTCCCTTGTGTGCTCTCGCTTTTATCATGTGCTCATAGTCCAATCCCCTTGTTGTGTTTGCCCTTGATCTAATGTCCACATATGAGGGAGAACATACGATTTTTGGTCTTTTGAGCCAGGCTAACCTCACTCAGAATGATGTTCTCCAATGGGATTTTATATTTTTAAACGGTAACATTTTAAGTGGTTATATAAGCACCTACATAATCTCCATTTTGCGTCTTGGTCCTCAAAGCCTAAAATATCTGTGATTCTGTTAGGAAAAAATTGACTCCCCTTGCTGAAGAGGAAAGCTGGAAGGATGTGACTTGTTAGCACTTGACAGTTTTTGACCTACAGAAATGCTAATTTCATGTGGTTTAACCTGATACATTTTGAGGAAATTCTTTCACAATGGTTAGAATTAAAATGGTTGGTCTCTTGGAGTGGAAGAAGTAAATTTATCTGGGAAACTCACATACATGGACATGCTCGTTTCTCACTGTCTTGGGGGAATGACATACCATCTATCAGTCAAGTGGCTTTCCAGAGCTGACCCACAGGCTTCAGGCTGCACAGGCCTGTACTGCCCAGCAGTTACAAGGAAGCTCTTCTTTTCCACCTAATGGATATATTCATTTATTTATTCATTCACTTGTTCCTGCATCTATTTATTTACTTATTTATATTTGTGGTACTAGGGTTCGAACTCACATCCTCATGATTGCTAGGCAAGTTCTCTATTACTTGAGCCACACCCTAGCCCACCTGATGTATTTGTTACCAAGACCTCTCTTATCTGGCCCCAGTAAGGGGCCAGCTATCCTCAGAATGGAGATGGCTCCGATGTCACTTACATCCATTTTGAATGGGAGGGAGAGGGAGCAGCTGCCTTTTTCTGGGGTGCATGTCTATAGAACATTGTTGCTAGAAATGACTTTCCCTGGAGGTAGAAGGTGATTTTACTCTCTGTGTTTTCGATCTCTGACTTTTAGTGTCATTGATCCTTAGTCCACTGTGTGAATACCATTATTTATTTTGTGTGGCTTGTTTCCCATTCTTGCCCTCCCTCCTTTGTATCTCACTCATCCTGATTGCTCAAGACAGTTTGCTTGTCAAAACCCACAACTGACATCATATGGGGACCACTCTTAGCTGTTGGAGATTTTAACCTTAGCTGCTTAGTCTGTTCTTTTGTAAGGCAAAGAAGCTAAGCTGACTTGGGGCCTTTGTGCTAGGCCTGTGTCTCAGTAGGGTCATACTGTTCCCCAGAGAAATGAAACTATTTCAAAAAACAAAAATCTCTAGAATTTATAATTTTATCATCATGTGTGGTCAAAACCATTAAGTCAAGGATTGGCAGGACACACTGCTGTACTCTGGCTTGTTTTTGAGACTCATGTGTCCAATGGGAGTTTTCATTTTCTTTCTGTTTTGGAATCATTGTTCAGCCTTTCAGTGTTCTCTTCACACAGGTCAGGATGCTAGTCTTTGATGGAATGCAAAATGGCATCTATTAAACACTGGAATAAGAAGTAAATAGCCAGAGCTGACCTTTCCAGACTTTATGTTTGCATTAAGAATAGAACTTTGAAGTATTCTGGGACTTGCTAATACAATTGCATCTGTATTTATCATTGTGTGCGCCTATCCATTCCTTTGTATGACTACAGCCACCACTGTAACCTTGAGTGGCAGAATATAGACTGTTGAAATAGTCATAGACCTCTGACCTGCAGCCTCTGCCTACACATTCAGTCGTGCATTGTAGCCAAATTAATCCAGTGAAGGAGCATCTCTGGGGCTTCTCTATAGTCCACAAGGTCACCCTGCATTTGAGCTCTTCACATTTTTCATGCCCACTCCGCATGATTGGCATTTGTCATTGTTGATATTATTACTCTTTGATTAATGTCTTGTGCCAGCTTACATGGGCTGCTCTTGACATAGTATTCCTTGTCTTAAGGTCATTGTGCCATTACCCATGCTATTCTCTCTCTGGAATGAGGAGCTATCCTTTGATAACTTGTAGTGGAGTTGCCTCCTTTTCAGGAGCTCCTGCTTTCCCAGCTCCTTCAGCTTCCCAGAAACTTGTGTCCCCAGTTACTGCTTATGTTTTGGTATGCGTGTCTGCTTTGTCTAGACTTTGACACTAAAGTCATGTTCGTTTCCTTCCTCACCTCTGTGAGTGAGTATGACATTTTATCTCTGGTAGCAGTCTGAGTTTTGTGATGTCACCTTGGGCTGGATAATAGCTGTCTTCAGGACAGCTCCCCTTCTGGGAGGCATTTTCAGAGTACTCAGAGAGCCTGTGTGGGCCCAGGCCAACAGGTGGTCACTGGGGCTTGGTCCAGGGGCTGCACCATGGGTTGTTCAACTCCTGTGCTCTGTTTTGAGCATGGGTATTTCCTCTCTTTTCCCACTTAAGAGATTGACGCTTAAAAAGTGTACACCTGCAATTCTAGCACTTGAAAGGCTGTGGGGAAGGATTATAAGTTTTGAGATAGTGAGACCCTATCTCAAAAAAACAAAACAGCAAAATTTAAATAGTGACAGACACATGAATATTTCTTTGGCCTCTCTTCCTTGATTTTCCTGCTCTCACTGATGAAAGGGGAGAGTTTTTTTTGAGGTACTTCCCCATGCTGCACACTGTCCTGTATTTAGTGGAAGCATTCCACTTTAAACTAGATAAGCATTGAAAAATTCATCATATTGTTCCCATTTTACAGATGAGTAAAAACTAAGGCTTGAAACTACAAAGTAACTTGTTAGAGCAGACCTGGCAGTCTGCTGATGTGGCATTTGCCTATTTAGGTGACATCTCCTCACTTTGGTTCCCCAGCAAGGCTTTTGCTAGTATGGGTCTTAAAGATCTAAAAGGTTCAGCAAGAAAGAATGCTGACATCTGTCATTCATTTCTTCTCTTATCCCACCAAACCCAGTAACCACAGTAACCTGAAGGCCCTATGAGAACACTTCATCTAGAAAGAGGGATAATAATAAGCACAGCAGTGGTAACACTCTAAAAACCATACTGGTAATGCGTGCTTTGTATAGAAAAAGAAAAAAAGAAGGAAAACAAGGAACACATTGTCACAACTTACACACCAGGAGATAACTACTTTTTAATATTTTGTTAAATCCTTTTCTGTACTTCAATACTAAAAGTATCAGAAATTTTTTCCCTTTCTTTTGATGGTGGGGACAGAACCCAGGACTTTGCATGTGTTAAGCATAATTCTACCTCTGAGCTACACCCTTAGCCCCATAAATCTCTTTGTAAACACTCCACTGACTTTCGTAGCAACTTGAAGCAGTCAGAGCCTGTGGTAGGCT